TAACATGGCGTGACTTCGGCTGGAAGAATTTAATCAGATTTTTTATTACGCCAAAGCAGAAATTGAAGCTGGGTGGTTCTCAGTCATCTTGCTGGAGGAGGTGTGGCGAGGGTTCAGCGGACTGCTTTCATATTTTTTGGGACTGTCCACAATTGAAAAATTTTTGGAAGGATGTTAATCGAGCAATTTATGAAATCCTGGGTATAACTTTAGTTCTTTCATTTTCTGCTATGTACCTTGGAATACTCCCTGAAGGACTCGATACTAAGGATACATACATGTTAAAGATATTTCTGATTGCAAGCAAGAAGGCAATTACTAAATGTTGGCTCCAACCTAGACCCCCTAATCTGGAACTTCTTGTGAATATCATAAATCTGATATATAATATGGAAATATTGACATTTAAGATATGACTACAGAAGGCGAAAGGAGAGAGACTCTGGGAAAAGTGGGAATATTTTATAAACAAAAGTATGTAACAGTTAATTTTTGTGACTCTACACCACTTGGTCAGTCACATGGAAGTTTGTGTATATTTTTTTTTCTTTTTTCTTTTGTGTGTAATTTTATGCGGTGAAATGTCTGCATTGTAATGTTGGCTAGTTGTCTGGCTGCTACCTGACCTGGCCCTCCTGTTCTGAGTATATGTGTTGCCTGTATGTGATGTTTGGAAAAGAATAAAAATAAAGTAAAAAAAAAAAAANGCTGCGAGTCTCTGCAGGACCTCATTACACTCAGCATAACGGGGTGTTCCTCGGACATCTGGGTTTACCAGGATCCCGTCTATACCGGCGGCTATTGTCGCCGTCTTCACTATGCTGTCGTATTTTTCAGAAGGACTGTAGATGATTCGTAATTTGCCACCTGTCCATTCTTCTAGTAGGTTAGCAAACCATTCCAACCATTCTTTGACTTCCGTCTTTTTGGTAACCTTTTCCGGGCATTTGACGACCCCTAGGCGGTGACCATCTTTGAGCTGAGTGCAGTAGTAGACTTTCTGATGCCTTATTAGTGCTTCCAGCATCCTCCTCCCAAGCTTCGGGTCATCCGAATAGTGACCTCGTTCGAAGCTTCGCCGATTGATCGTGGTCCAGGAATCTATTCCATCACCGAGCAGTATCAGCATTACTGGAAGTTGTTGCAGGACAATCTGGGAGCGCAGGAGCAGTGCTTCTTCATCCGGTCCGGTGACGCTCGTCTCCCGCTCTGTCGCTGACGCTTGCGGGGGTTCCAGTCCTCCTTCTTCTTCCTTTCCTTCATCCATGATTGTTTTTGTCTTCGAGCCGCCTTTCCCCCAAAGCCTCTCTTTAGCCTTCAAGCAGGGATGGGTTTAGGCTATTGGCTACTGGCTTCGCTTCTGGATACCTATGCCTATCCTCAGCAGAAGCTCTCCCTCACCTGCATGCCATACAGTTACTGCAAGGGTTGTGACTGACAGCCGGATCAGCCACCACTAACTCTTTTCCTTAAGAGCTAGCCTCCAAGTGAGCTATTCAGATATTCGCCTCTCTGTTTTTACTGACTTGATTTTCTAGGGCTCTACCCCTTCTCAAGGGGCGTGGCCCCACGTTGGGCGCCACCTTGTTGTTGCAC